CCAAACCCTCATTCTTGATCCCGGTTTCCTGCCTCTCCCTCTCCCTCCTCCTCCTCACACACTCCTCACCTCTTTATTACGCCCCCCTTCCCCCTCCCTACCCCCCCGTCTCCTCCTTCAGGAGCGCCCCTTCCTCCCCCTCTGCTCCTCCCTCCCCGCCTCCCGGGGGGCTGGTCGATAATATCCTGGTCATATTACACTATAAAGATGATAGCCGAATGAATAATGAATAAGGCCGGGGTGATCCTAATAGTGATGCTACTGATATTGGCAGGGCGGGAGGGGGTGGGCGACCCCTTCTGACGGCAGGGCGGGGAGGGGTGGGCGACCCCTTCTGACGGCACGGCGGGGAGGGGTGGACGACCCCTTCTGACGGCAGGGCGGGGAGGGGGGGACGACCCCTTCTGACGGCACGGCGGGGAGGGGTGGACGACCCCTTCTGACGGCAGGGCGGGGAGGGGGGTGACGACCCCTTCTGACGGCAGGGCGGGGAGGGGGGGACGACCCCTTCTGACGGCAGGGCGGAGAGGGGGATGACGACCCCTTCTGACGGCAGGGCGGGGAGGGGGGTGACGACCCCTTCTTACGGCAGGGCGGGGAGGGGGAGGACGTCCCCTTCTGACGGCAGGGCGGGGAGGGGGAGGACGACCCCTTCTGACGGCAGGCCGGGGAGGAGGGGTGGGCGTCCCCTTCTGACGGTAGGGTCGGGAGGGGGTGACGACCCCTTCTGACGGCAGGGAGGGGAGGGGAGGGGGAGGACGTCCCCTTCTGACGGCAGGGCGGGGAGGGGGAGGACGACCCCTTCTCACGGTAGAAGGGAACATTCCCCCAACCCACTGGCTCAGTGCCTTGCGTGAGCCAGTGCGCCTGTTGCAGGCTCGTTGGTTAAAAATATAAAAAAAGGGCCCCAAAAAATCAACAGTAAAAAATATGCGAGCATCAACGGCGTGTTTCTATTTTTCCCGCCAACTGAGCCCCGTGTGATGGGCTCCTGTCAACACGTCGCTCCGGTGACTAAACGATCCAAGAGGGAACTATTGGGAGGGAGAGAGAGGGAGAGGTGGATTAGATAGGAGTAGCGGGGAAGAGAGAATGTATTAAGAGAGAGAGAACGAAGTACAGAAGAGAGAGGAAAACGTGAGAGAGAAAAAGAGGAAGGAAATAGCGTGCGCGAGCGAGAGTGAAGAGGAACGCGCGCTAGCAAAGTCCCTCCAAGCACTTAGGGAAAGATCGCAGCCACTTACCACTCCAGTCAGATTTACACTTTTATGGAAGAAAGAAAGACCTAAGCCTCTCATATTTTCCTCGCCACACTAGTCCCTATGACATATTAGCGCTAGGGTTATTGTTAGTTCTTGATCTGCGGAGGGGATTCCGCCCCTATTAGCAGCGTCTACGTATAGTGAATGACGGCAGAGAGAGAGAGAGAGAGAGAGAGAGAGAGAGAGAGAGAGAGAGAGAGAGAGAGAGAGAGAGAGAGAGAGAGAGAGAGAGAGAGAGAGAGAGAGAGAGAGAGAGGATTGGTCAACAAATGGGACGCGCTTGAAGCAGAAGTCACAGAAGCCACCGCGACTCAAAACTTCAGTAGCATATCATTCTTGAGTAACTTTTAAAGTTGTGTGATAAGATAACAATGGTCTAGTTGGTCTTCACCAGCTACTCACACAAGCTAGAGAAGCAGGACGGTATTTCTGGAACAGTGCTGTTTGGCTAAGGAAAGTAGAAAGTAAACCCTTCAGAAAGTAGGCAAAGGGTCACCGGTGACGGAAATGTATCACAACCCATCATGTTCCAGTCATACATAAAAGACTTAACACAGCAAATAAGCTCATCCATATCAAGATTTGCTGGCGATGCTAATCACATATGACGGGTCAGCCCAGAGGATGACTGCACACCACTGCAAAACGAACGTGACAGTCCCCAGATGTGATCTTATAAATGGCTATTGAAGTTTAGCCCGGCCAAATGCAATGTTATAAGGATAGGAATAGGAATGAAAAGACCCCCAAAACTGTTCAGAATGGAATAGTTAACTTCTCACTTCAAAACAAGAGCATCACTTGGGAGTAGACAACCCTAAGCCTAACACGAGAAGTACACATCAGCAGATTAACGCGCACAGCAGATAACACATATTTGCTATCAGCAGCATATGCCAAGATAGCAAACGTCCGGTTATCCTTGAGGAACCTGGACGAAGGACCTTTCAAGCGCTCTGTATGTTCTATGGTAAACCCGTTCCTTAGTATGCTGCCCCTGCATGGAACCCCTAAAAAAAAAAGTCGAAAAAGATGCACCAAGGCTCGTTCCTGAGCCGAGGGGACTGAACTATAAAGAAAGACCAAGGGAACCAGACCTAACCACCAGAAGAAAAAATAATGCAGACATGATTATGACATAAAAAATTCCGAGGAAAATTGACCAAGTAGTTGACGGTGCTAAATAATCTTCCAGACAAGGTACCTTCTTTTGGTAAGTACTTGACCGAGTAGACAGGGAAACAATGTTCTTATTACGAGAGAACAGAATGAGGGGACACTACCGGAAACTTGAGACACAAGTAGAGATGTTAGAAGGAACACCTTCAGTGTACCAGCCGTAAATAAATAAAATGGATTAGATGAGGAAGTTATTAATGAGTTATAAATGTTACTATAATACGATCGAGTGAAGAGAGTCATTGCATTAAACAACTGATAACGGAACAGTTTGGATATAGGAGGAAACGCTCATATCCTTCTAGCACATCTAGGTGAGTCCACTGAGAGAAACATCATCTTGAAAGGGAGGTTACGAGTGGTCAGTGTGAGGAGGGGAGAGGGGAAGGGAGAGGGGAAGGGAGAGGGGAAGGGAGAGAGGGGTAGTGATGGAGGAAGTGAGAGAAAGAGAGGGGGGGGGGGCGGGAAGGCAGAGAACGCAGACTGAATTTCAAAGATATGGCGGCACCTTCCATTGTTTGGTAGCAAACCTTGGCGCTTGTGGTGTTGTTGCTGCTGCTCTTTCCTCTCTCCAACCACTTGGGCTGGACGGTAGAGCGACGGTCTTGCTTCGTGCAGGTCGGCGTTCAATCCCCGACCGTCCAAGTGGTTGGGCACAATTCCTTCCCCCGACCCGTCCCAAATCCTTATCCTGACCCCTTCCCAGTGCTATATAGTCGTCATGGCTTAGCGCTTTCTCCCTGATTATTCCCCTTCTTTCCTCTCTCCTACACACACTTCTTCCCCCATGTTAAATAATAATAATATTAACAATAATTTCAGTAATGCCATCGATTTCGAGGCTCAGTTTTGACCTACCACTTCCCCGAGACTGACTTGAACCCCTGACCTTACTTTCCACCTTAATACTGACCATGACCTTTCACCTGCTTCTTACAGTAGTTTCTTGACCCCGATGACTTGACAGCACAGAGACGATAGATGACCAGATGTGAATAGACACAGACATTGCCGACCGACAGACATACACACAGCCGCACAAGCCACATGCAGACATATGCGCACATATCAGACATGCGCACATAAGACAATACATACACACAGAATACAGTCATCAACAATATATGTGCCCAGTCCATGGAAGACCTATGCCCAGTGGGTGGGACGTTCGTCAAGAAGAACTTTGAGTGGGATTGGGTGGTTATAAATAGGAGCTGCCTCGTATGGGCCAATAGGCCTTCTGCAGTTACCTTTGTTCTTATGTTCTTAACTCCGCTGAGGCAGCCAGTGCGCCAGGGCCCCGTAGGACGGTTAAGGTATAAACCATAAAACACAGGGGTGGGGGTGGGGGGTGGGGGGGCACAATGAGGGGTGAAGAATGGTCCGTGTAACCCGCCCTCATTACGCACTCATAATCAAGGGTGAGGTGAACCCACGGACTTAACCCTCCGCCTAGATTCTTCCCCTCCCACCATCCACCTCATAAGGGACACCCTCTCCCCAGGTGGAAGCCACTCTCCCCCCAGTGTGGGTCACCCTCACCCCTCTCCACAGTGAGGGCCTCGCCACCGCTCACATTAAAACTTGCTGGAACATTCATGGCCTTTTTAAGGACTCTCCGACCTTTACTTTGGTCGGGGAAAACGTCCGCTCCCATCAATAACATTTAAAAAGCTCGGCTCAACTCCTCGCCGGTCAAGTTTGTGGGCATTAAAAACTTTGCTGCCTCCGTCACCGCCGCTGCTGCCGCCGACGACGTAACTACTGCTGCCGCTGTTGCTGCTGTTGCGACAGCTTCTGGCAAGTGCGGCTGCGGCAACTACTGGCGTCTGTTGCGGCTGCGGGAAAATGGACACGTGCCACACTCTGCTCATGAGTGTGACCTTCCTTTCTGTGACCTCGTTCCTGATCTTGTGACCTCGCTCCTGATCTTGTGACCTCGCTCCTGATCTTGTGACCTCGCTCCTGATCTTGTGACCTCGCTCCTGATCTTGTGACCTCGTTCCTGATCTTGTGACCTCGCTCCTGATCTTGTGACCTCGCTCCTGATCTTGTGACCTCGCTCCTGATCTTGTGACCTCGTTCCTGATCTTGTGACCTCGCTCCTGATCTTGTGACCTCGCTCCTGATCTTGTGACCTCGCTCCTGATCTTGTGACCTCGTTCCTGATCTTGTGACCTCGCTCCTGATCTTGTGACCTCGTTCCTGATCTTGTGACCTCGCTCCTGATCTTGTGACCTCGCTCCTGATCTTGTGACCTCGCTCCTGATCTTGTGACCTCGTTCCTGATCTTGTGACCTCGCTCCTGATCTTGTGACCTCGCTCTTGACCTTGTGACTGATGGCCGTCATCAGCGGTCAGCATTCACAGAGCAGTTACAGGTCCACTTACGAGGTCTGCACCTCGTATCTCCATCTTGGCAGCCAGTCCTTATTTACTAAACACGTTACGAGCTCCGAAGCGCTACGAGATCGTCCTTAAAAATAATAACTGGTTTTGAGGACGACCTCGTAGCCATCGGAGCTCGTAAACTATTTGGTGAATACATACTATTCCGCCATGATTGAGATGAGAGATACGTATCTCGTAGGTGGGGAGGTAAGTCTTCTGTGAACACGTGACCTCCAGTCATATATATATATATATATATATATATATATATATATATATATATATATATATATATATATATATATATATAATATGAATGGGTTTGGGTGGATGGATATAAATAGAAGCTGCCGTGAATAGGCCAATGCAACTCTTTTAATTTCCCTGTTATCATGTGAGCCATTTGTAGAGCTTGTGAGTAGACCAGATCATTGCTGGCTAAACCTTCGTTAGTTATGGGAGTGTATATCCCGGGGTACATTGAGGAGACGTCACCAGCGAGCCTTGACCACTGGACGCTACAGCTGCCTACTGACCCTCGCTGCTCTCTGTGGTACGCCTGCAAAGATTAATAGTGTTGTATGTAAGTTTGTTGTTGTTGTGGCTCGGGGCTCTCCAGGTTCTCTCCTCTCTCATATGCCTCTCGTGGTCTGTCCCTGCTCCTCTCTTCCTCCACAATGTGCCTCCCAATCACCCTCCTCCTCCTCCTGCTCCACAATGTACCTCCCAATCACCCTCCTCCACCATAGTCTCCCCTTCCCTTACCACTCCCCACCCCGGTCTCCTGCTCGGCATGAACGACGGGGGTGTTGTGAGCTGAAGAGATTCATTCACATCCTCGGTCCCGTGCGGCGACAACTCCCACGGGGGAAGTAATGTTCCTCTACCCCGCCAGGGATATTATAGCCGGGGGAGGGAGAGAGGGGCGAGGAGAGAGAGAGAGAGAGAGAGTGAGGGGAGAGGGAGGGAGAGTAGATAAGAATCAAACAGGTAGGGTAAAAAAGGACAAATTTCCCTAGTGATAACATTTTCTTTGAATTTTGTGCAAATTTGTTTTTCTGGCGAGGTCTTTCGTTGTGTAAATACAATATTATTGTGAGCTTTTGTGGGTTTTATATCTGTGCTCCTGAACACAAGGAGCCAGTCTGGGAAACACAGAGCTCTATGGCTAGACTTTACCTTGTTTTAACACAGTCACGTAAAACTGTTAGTTTGCAACTGCCCTGCTGGTCAACTGAGCACCATAATATATATATATATATATATATATATATATATATATATATATATATATATATATATATATTTATATATATATATATATTGTAGTTATTTAATTTATATATTGAGAATTATTATAGTATTACTAACAATTTGTGTATTTCTTCCACAGCAGGATCAGCTCTGAGGTGCCACACGACAGGTCAGTAAAGTATAAGTCTTTCTGGTCGCTTTACTCCACTTTATTATTTTGTAAATGTGGTTATAATCCTCCCGGTGGTTATTATTGATAACATACTTTACAGTCACTAGCTTTGCCAGAAACTGGTTATCAAATTGTGTAATGTTTTATGAATGTTTTAAAAATGACTTATAATGTTTGTTTCTGTTAAGAGTTGTTTTTTTAATGGTATTAATTTTTTTTTTAGTTTTGGACCTAATTTATAGAAATGTATTACTAATTTGGTTCTGATATATATATATATATATATATATATATATATATATATATATATATATATATATATATATATATATATATATATATATATATATATATAAAGAACTTGTTATTTTCGACAATATATATATAGAAAGTATTATCATCTTGGACTGAGATATAGAAAGTATTATTATTTTGTATTTGTTATTAAAATATCTGAATATTTTTAGATAACTTCTATACTTTTGATAATTAGGATTAATTTGACAATTTATTGATTATTTTGAAGCTGGTAACAATAGCATTAAAAATCTATGACTAAAAAATGAGAATATTTTGAGAACTGTAAATGGGACATACGAAGGTACAAACTACAGAAGTTTAATACAAGAGCTAAATTTAGAGAAGTATTTGAAATTATTAGATTTAGTTAATGGTGTATAATATATACGCAAAGATGATGGGCGATATTAAGATTGTAATATGTATTAACAAATTAATAGTAGGAACAGTTAGGAAATAAAATAGATATTAAGAAATAAAGAGGACGGTAATGGTGAAAAATTAAGGGATTATATAGTATAATTTGGAAATATGAGTTTAAATTTATTAAGCAGTTCTCGAGATTCAGAATGTTATAACCCAAGGTTATTACTATCATACACAACCTCGTATTGTATGTTTAATAAATGTAAACAAAATCCGATATGATATTGGAAAGATGTACAGGTTTCGTAAGTATTTACGGAAATGCATGATTAATTCTCTCCACGGATAAGAGAGACATAGGTCGGTATATGTGCACTTATGGGCTGAGGACTGAAATAATATCCACTCTGGTCTGGCAGGCTGAAGCTGCTCCTAGTAGGGAAGTTCTTTATAAGACTCAACGTCTTAAACTTGGCCATAGTCCTTAATCTTGTACTCCAGATATCTTGTTAGAGTCCTTGTTAATGTACACAAGAAAGCTTGCTGTGGTCAGTAATCACGTACTCCAGATATCTTGTTAGAGTCCTTGTTAATGTACACAAGAAAGCTTGCTGTGGTCAGTAATCACGTACTCCAGATATCTTGTTAGGGTCCTTGTTAATGTACACAAGAAAGCTTGCTGTGGTCAGTAATCACGTACTCCAGATATCTTGTTAGGGTCCTTGTTAATGTACACAAGAAAGCTTGCTGTGGTCAGTAATCACGTACTCCAGATATCTTGTTAGAGTCCTTGTTAATGTACACAAGAAAGCTTGCTGTGGTCAGTAATCACGTACTCCAGATATCTTGTTAGAGTCCTTGTTAATGTACACAAGAAAGCTTGCTGTGGTCAGTAATCACGTACTCCAGATATCTTGTTAGAGTCCTTGTTAATGTACACAAGAAAGCTTGCTGTGGTCAGTAATCACGTACTCCAGATATCTTGTTAGAGTCCTTGTTAATGTACACAAGAAAGCTTGCTGTGGTCAGTAATCACGTACTCCAGATATCTTGTTAGGGTCCTTGTTAATGTACACAAGAAAGCTTGCTGTGGTCAGTAATCACGTACTCCAGATATCTTGTTAGGGTCCTTGTTAATGTACACAAGAAAGCTTGCTGTGGTCAGTAATCACGTACTCCAGATATCTTGTTAGGGTCCTTGTTAATGTACACAAGAAAGCTTGCTGTGGTCAGTAATCACGTACTCCAGATATCTTGTTAGGGTCCTGTTAATGTACACAAGAAAGCTTGCTGTGGTCAGTAATCACGTACTCCAGATATCTTGTTAGGGTCCTTGTTAATGTACACAAGAAAGCTTGCTATGGTCTGTAATCACGTACTCCAGATATCTTGTTAGGGTCCTTGTTAATGTACACAAGAAAGCTTGCTGTGGTCAGTAATCACGTACTCCAGATATCTTGTTAGGGTCCTTGTTAATGTACACAAGAAAGCTTGCTGTGGTCAGTAATCACGTACTCCAGATATCTTGTTAGGGTCCTTGTTAATGTACACAAGAAAGTTTGCTGTGGTCAGTAATCACGTACTCCAGATATCTTGTTAGGGTCCTTGTTAATGTACACAAGAAAGCTTGCTGTGGTCAGTAATCACGTACTCCAGATATCTTGTTAGAGTCCTTGTTAATGTACACAAGAAAGCTTGCTGTGGTCAGTAATCACGTACTCCAGATATCTTGTTAGGGTCCTTGTTAATGTACACAAGAAAGCTTGCTGTGGTCAGTAATCACGTACTCCAGATATCTTGTTAGGGTCCTTGTTAATGTACACAAGAAAGCTTGCTGTGGTCAGTAATCACGTACTCCAGATATCTTGTTAGGGTCCTTGTTAATGTACACAAGAAAGCTTGCTGTGGTCAGTAATCACGTACTCCAGATATCTTGTTAGGGTCCTTGTTAATGTACACAAGAAAGCTTGCTGTGGTCAGTAATCACGTACTCCAGATATCTTGTTAGAGTCCTGTTAATGTACACAAGAAAGCTTGCTATGGTCAGTAATCACGTACTCCAGATATCTTGTTAGGGTCCTTGTTAATGTACACAAGAAAGCTTGCTATGGTCAGTAATCACGTACTCCAGATATCTTGTTAGGGTCCTTGTTAATGTACACAAGAAAGCTTGCTGTGGTCAGTAATCACGTACTCCAGATATCTTGTTAGGGTCCTTGTTAATGTACACAAGAAAGCTTGCTGTGGTCAGTAATCACGTACTCCAGATATCTTGTTAGGGTCCTTGTTAATGTACACAAGAAAGCTTGCTGTGGTCAGTAATCACGTACTCCAGATATCTTGTTAGGGTCCTTGTTAATGTACACAAGAAAGCTTGCTGTGGTCAGTAATCACGTACTCCAGATATCATGTTAGGGTCCTTGTTAATGTACACAAGAAAGCTTGCTGTGGTCAGTAATCACGTACTCCAGATATCATGTTAGAGTCCTTGTTAATGTACACAAGAAAGCTTGCTGTGGTCAGTAATCACGTACTCCAGATATCATGTTAGGGTCCTTGTTAATGTACACAAGAAAGCTTGCTGTGGTCAGTAATCACGTACTCCAGATATCTTGTTAGAGTCCTTGTTAATGTACACAAGAAAGCTTGCTGTGGTCAGTAATCACGTACTCCAGATATCATGTTAGGGTCCTTGTTAATGTACACAAGAAAGCTTGCTGTGGTCAGTAATCACGTACTCCAGATATCATGTTAGGGTCCTTGTTAATGTACACAAGAAAGCTTGCTGTGGTCAGTAATCACGTACTCCAGATATCTTGTTAGGGTCCTTGTTAATGTACACAAGAAAGCTTGCTATGGTCAATAATCACGTACTCCAGATATCTTGTTAGGGTCCTTGTTAATGTACACAAGAAAGCTTGCTATGGTCAATAATCACGTACTCCAGATATCTTGTTAGGGTCCTTGTTAATGTACACAAGAAAGCTTGCTGTGGTCAATAATCACGTACTCCAGATATCTTGTTAGGGTCCTTGTTAATGTACACAAGAAAGCTTGCTGTGGTCAGTAATCACGTACTCCAGATATCTTGTTAGGGTCCTTGTTAATGTACACAAGAAAGCTTGCTATGGTCAATAATCACGTACTCCAGATATCTTGTTAGGGTCCTTGTTAATGTACACAAGAAAGCTTGCTATGGTCAATAATCACGTACTCCAGATATCTTGTTAGGGTCCTTGTTAATGTACACAAGAAAGCTTGCTATGGTCAATAATCACGTACTCCAGATATCTTGTTAGGGTCCTTGTTAATGTACACAAGAAAGCTTGCTATGGTCAATAATCACGTACTCCAGATATCTTGTTAGGGTCCTTGTTAATGTACACAAGAAAGCTTGCTATGGTCAATAATCACGTACTCCAGATATCTTGTTAGGGTCCTTGTTAATGTACACAAGAAAGCTTGCTATGGTCAATAATCACGTACTCCAGATATCTTGTTAGGGTCCTTGTTAATGTACACAAGAAAGCTTGCTGTGGTCAATAATCACGTACTCCAGATATCTTGTTAGGGTCCTTGTTAATGTACACAAGAAGCTTGCTATGGTCAATAATCACGTACTCCAGATATCTTGTTAGGGTCCTTGTTAATGTACACAAGAAAGCTTGCTGTGGTCAATAATCACGTACTCCAGATATCTTGTTAGGGTCCTTGTTAATGTACACAAGAAAGCTTGCTATGGTCAATAATCACGTACTCCAGATATCTTGTTAGGGTCCTTGTTAATGTACACAAGAAAGCTTGCTGTGGTCAATAATCACGTACTCCAGATATCTTGTTAGGGTCCTTGTTAATGTACACAAGAAAGCTTGCTATGGTCAATAATCACGTACTCCAGATATCTTGTTAGGGTCCTTGTTAATGTACACAAGAAAGCTTGCTATGGTCAGTAATCACGTACTCCAGATATCTTGTTAGGGTCCTTGTTAATGTACACAAGAAAGCTTGCTATGGTCAGTAATCACGTACTCCAGATATCATGTTAGGGTCCTTGTTAATGTACACAAGAAAGCTTGCTATGGTCAGTAATCACGTACTCCAGATATCTTGTTAGGGTCCTTGTTAATGTACACAAGAAAGCTTGCTATGGTCAGTAATCACGTACTCCAGATATCTTGTTAGGGTCCTTGTTAATGTACACAAGAAAGCTTGCTATGGTCAGTAATCACGTACTCCAGATATCATGTTAGGGTCCTTGTTAATGTACACAAGAAAGCTTGCTATGGTCAGTAATCACGTACTCCAGATATCTTGTTAGGGTCCTTGTTAATGTACACAAGAAAGCTTGCTATGGTCAGTAATCACGTACTCCAGATATCTTGTTAGGGTCCTTGTTAATGTACACAAGAAAGCTTGCTATGGTCAGTAATCACGTACTCCAGATATCTTGCTAGGAGGGAAGATGGAGAGAGAGAGGGGGGGGGGAAGAGGTAGCCTAGGAGGGCAGTATTGACAGGCTCGCCCCCTACCCTAGGACCTCGGAGACAACACCTTCCCCCCCTCATCTATCTCCCCTTGTCACTGTGAACCACCACCTCCTACTCCTCCCTCTACCCTTACCTATCCACAAACCACATCTACCTCAGTGTCACCCCTACCCCCCACTCTCCTCCTGCCCCCCCCCCCCCTAAACACCTCCCCTCAGGGGCTCTGTGTACCGTGTGAAGATATTCGTAATGGTTGTGTTGGAGGAGGATAATATACAGTCGCAAGACGACTTCCCCTTCTCCATCTTCCCCTTTCCTTCCCCCTCACCCCATTCCTTTCCCCTCCCTCGCTGTCCTAATGACGGGGCTCCATTAGCTAATGAAGCAGCAGAGCCGGTTGGGTCGGGAGGTCTCAGAGCGGTGAGGAATGTGTGTAGGTGATGGGAGGGGGAGAGCCAGGTGATGGGAGGGGGAGAGCCAGGTGATGGAAGGGGGAGAGCCAGGTGATGGGAGGGGGAGAGCCAGGTGATGGGAGGGGGAGAACCAGGTGATGGGAGGGGGAGAGCCAGGTGATGGGAGGGGGAGAGCCAGGTGATGGGAGGGGGAGAGCCAGGTGATGGAAGGGGGAGAGCCAGGTGATGGGAGGGGGGAGAGCCAGGTGATGGGAGGGGGAGAGCCAGGTGATGGAAGGGGGAGAGCCAGGTGATGGGAGGGGGAGAGCCAGGTGATGGAAGGGGGAGAGCCAGATGATGGGAGGGGGAGAGCCAGGTGATGGGAGGGGGAGAAATTTCTGGTGATGGGTGGGGGAGTGTCCAGGTCATAGGAGTTTTGCCACATGATGTGTGGGGGGGAAAGGGCCAGGTCATGGGAGTGGGGTCACGTGATGGAAGGGGGCTGAGACAGGTGATGGGAGGGGGACGGGACAGGAAAGGGAAGGTGGGAGGGGTCAAAGATAGGAGTGGAAAGGCCAGGTGATAGAATGGGGAGGGGGGGGGGGGAACAGCCTGGTGATGGGAGGGGGACGTAAAATGTGATGGAAAGGGGAACGGCTAGGTGATGGAACCGACCGATCCCACTGTAACGGGATAGGAATGGATAGCTTTGCATCTCTTCCCCCTTAGATGACCCACTGTTGTGAGAGGGGGGCCCCGCACCCCCTTGGTG